CATAATATTATTGTGTTTACTTATTTCTACACTCTCATAGGCATCTCGTTGCCTGTTGTTGTTAACTTGTCTAACTAATCTTAATGAACTGAAGTCTATGGAATGGTTTTGTTGCAAAATATGATGGGCGACTGCTGATTTTTCAGGTCTTCCATATTTTAAGTGTGCTATGTGTTTCTTATATCTTACTTTAATAGATCTTTTTCACTGTCCATAATATTTTGCATCGCAGTCCTTACATTCAATTTTGTAAATTCCAGACTTTTCCGAACTCTCGACTTTGCCTTTTGGACTTCCCAGAAGGCTCTGTAGTGTATGACTTGTTTTAAAAACCACCTTCATACCTAGTTTCTTGAAAATATTTCCAAAGTTCCTCGTATATTGGTGGTATGGAACTGAGATGTATTTATCTTGGTTTTTGTCCTGTCTGAAAGTCGAGATTTCGTTCATTGGTAATTGGTAACTCTACCTGTTAAAAAAAAGTCCCATGTTACGACACTGCTTTCTCCCAACTCTCAAGAGCCTGTCATATATTCCAGGAAAAGGTTACAATATTCCTTACCGTTTGTGTCAGTGAAGTGATCAATTCAGTCACTTTTTTTTCATTTCACGTTCAATAATGAAAAAAGTATGTTTTTTTTGTAAGTCTTTCACAATTTTGGATAAAGTTGGAGAAATATAAAGCCAAAAGGCATCTTTATCAGACACCTTATCTGTTTAAAATCTGTTTTTCCGTTAATCAGCTGTCGCCCCCATACGAACGACATCTCTCAGAAGTTCAGAAACTTGTGTGAGCTTAGGACTAACGAGGTCTTACCTTTTGTCGTGTGATTCCTAACACGGTTGCAGAACATCCCAGCTTCAACCAGATAAATTCTCTCGAGAAAAATATCTGGTCGAGGCGGGAATCGAACCCACGGCCTCCCGATCGTGAGTCGGGCGCACTATCACCGTGGCCAATTCCACAACATTATATTAGGATAAGCAAGTTTTTGTTTCTTAAACTACCAATTAACAAAAATACCAATTTCAATCCAAAAATGAAATACGAATACCTTCAAATTGAAAAGAGTATATTTTTTGTTGTGGAATTGGCCGCGGTGGTAGTGCGCCCGACTCACGATCGGAAGACCGTGGGTTCGATTCCTGCCTCGACCAGATATTTTTCTCGAGAGAATTTATCTGGTTGAAGCTGGGATGCTTCTGCAACCGTGTTAGGAATCACACGTTAAAAGGTAAGATCTCGTATGGGGGCGACTGCTGATTAACGGAAAAACAGATTATATTTGAATAACAGTGTGAGAAAATGGAAAAATTATCAATTATAGTGATTATATAGAAAATATTTTGAGATGCTGGTGGGAATGATTTCCTGATAATTGCGCTTAAACTGTTATGACCTTGTTGTCCTTCATGTACCATATCGGGAAGGATATCCTGTAATATCTCCCAAAGAACGCTGAATGATGTTCATAGATGGTAAATCCCAACAAAATTATAATATTCCCATTCACCGGAAAGAGTAATCTGATATACCAGCGGCCTTGAAAATTCTTACAGACCTACAGCTTCACCATATATTTCTTCAGAGAAGCTAGGTGGACAACTTACATAATAGTGCATATTTCCAATTGTAGCAAACAGGTTCTTGCGGAGCGTAGCCGGCTACTAGCTGACACCAAAAATCACAGAATTCTGGAAATCACCTCCGACTTAATGTCAACTGCGACCTGCTTTATACAGTCCTAATCCCGAAGAGAGAGTATTAGATTCTCTGAGGGGAGGTTCTGATGCAGGACTGAGATGTCAAACATATAAAACTATGCGATCACATGTCAAGCGAAACTCTTTGTCATTGATTTATATTTGAAGAACTTGTCTGGTACTAATCTCATATATGGATCAATAAAAATATTTTCGGAAACCAAGTAGCTTTGTAAGCCCTTGGCATCAAAAGAAACTCCTTTTTTGGGAATAAGAATGCCATGTTCTTTTTGTTTTTACTATACCTCAACGTAACCAAAACTCTAGTACTGGAACTTTCAAAATCATCCACAATGAGCTTAACAAGTTCGTCACGTCTACAGGCGCCAAACATACCACAAATCAATACAACCTTTTCAAGCAACCATGTATGATCATCTGCGTCCAACAAAAAGAAAGTACTTCTTCTTCAGACAAAATTTTTGCTTTCTATGGTGTGTATCCATCAGACCTTCGTCTCAAGAACAAATATAATTTTCCAAATCTGAAAATATAATTTCTGTAGATAATACTCTAATATGGTGCACGATTCAAAAAACTAAACTCAACATGTGAATGTTGTCATAAACTTTCAATATTACTGGAGTTTTTTCCCAACACTAATCCGTTATTTTAACACGTATTTCGATCACCAAGTGATCATCTTCAACAGGGAGATTGAACTTGTTTAAGCTCAATCTGCCTTTTGAAGATGATCACTTGGTGATCTTCTAATTGTTTCACACATTTTTCATTCATGATACTCTCTAACATTTTCTTTGTGATCATTTATGGCTGCATATGTAAATTTAGTCCATCTAAATTTTAGGTCTGTGTTCACTGGACTTAACTGCCTCAAGACTTTTCTAAAGAATTGCGGTCTAAGCGAAACATGGCTCTACTCAGATATCGCCTCTGAATCAGTGGCTACTCATTCTCATCATATCGTCAGAGCCGATAGAGATGGTAGAGGGGGCGGCGTAGCTATGTATATTAGGAACACTTTGAATTATAATGTTGCTTTTCATAAAATTAGTCCTGGGCTTGAACAACGCTGAATCTTAGTAAATTCGGCAGGAAAAAACATCTGTTTCGGAATGTTGCGTCGTCCACTCAAGCCTAATATTTCAACATGTCTCAACAAATTAGAAGAAACAGTTTCTAATTTTTTACCGACGAGTGGAGTTATTTGGACCCAAATCTAAAAGGAGACTGACTTTTAACCTCATCAAGATCCACATATATAATGTTGCCTTGTTCTTCACTTCAGAAAGTAAAAACTTGGATTTGTGGATTGACTCCGATTTGCGATTTTCTAAACATATCAGTAAATCATCTCTTTTTATTACTCATTTCAATTAAGATTGTATTGTTGTGTTGGTTGATTTATCTTTCATTACATACTTGTTTTTACATAATTGTTTTCTATTAAGTGTATATATTATTGTGAGGTTGCTTTGAAAAAGACCTTACCCTGATAATCCGCCTGTTCATCACATTAAATATAATTAAAAGGAAGTGGAAATTGACTTCAAACTTCATTACTTTATCCCGAAGTCTTTTCATAAAAGTTTTAGAATTATGTATGAACCACATTTACTTCTGTTATAATCTATTTTTACAAACAAATTTTCGGGTTGGGAATGGGTAATTTTATGTCACTCATTTGTTCAGACCTAGTCATGGCCAAACTATAAATAATTTGCACTGAAAAGTTGTCATGACGGTATTATTACTTTCATTACAAAAAATAAACAATCTGAAATATTAGACACTTTTCCAGAGTTTTCATCTTAACTGAAATTTACTCTTGGAATGGAGGAAAACAATTCATTAACATTTTTAGACACGAAAGTGATGAAAACCGAATTTTGAAAGTAGACTGGTATCATAAACCAACTTTCACAATGAAATAAATGTTATAAGAAATTTGAAATAAAGAGCAATTGCCAGCTCCGAAACATAAAAAATTCTTCAATTAATCGAGAATTATCTAGTAAAAAATTATTTTCCAAGAGTCCTTATCCAAAAAATAATTGAAGAAAGAAATTCCTCTTTGCCTTTTCAAATGAAAATACAGTTGGAAAGTATTTTTTATCAGAACAAAAAGCTCAAACACCACAAGACATGCATTTCAACGTAGTGAATGTGGATCATAAACAGAAGTTTCTTTCAGATACATGAAAGGAAAAAGTCCCTCCAAAATAACTACTTTCATATGAAGATTTAATTACACGATAATCATATAGGATAATTGTGTTTCATGTAAGTGACATTTGTATCAAATTCCATGTATCACATTGTGTAGCGTTTCTATGAATGATTCCTGTTTCAATTTAATAACGAATGTTTGTTGTACAAACTGAATGGAAAAATATGACTTTCGTGTAATTCAATATTTATTCAACTATGGGAAAGTACGAAGTCAAAAAGTTATTTTTTTCAAAAAACTAGTCACTTCTATGACCATTCCCTTTTTTTATTCATTTTATGAATGGAAATAAGAACATAGGCTTCCGCGTCTGGAGTATCGATTAGAGAGAACGGAATACGAGAATCCGTAGTCGAAAGGATTTCGTAGTACCGAACGTTTTGTCTGCTACTACCGCAGATATATGCAAGTAATATCGCAAAGTCTTAGCAATGTCAGACAGTCGTTATAGATAGTAATGAATTATACACAAAAACTGTTGAAGCGTTAAAACAGGCAGGAAGACAGATTTATGGTCATCTGGGGTATGTTCGGTTGGGATGGCGTTTTTTTCACTTCGCAGTTTAAATTACATTAATGCTTATGAAAATGAACAGTTTGTTATGAAAGCTACAGTTACTTTCCTTTTAGTCACAAGCCATTCTCAGCAATACCGTTCGTTCTGATAGATTTTCTTACTCGATATGAAGTTTACATCTTAGTTCTTATTTTCGGGACATACTTTTTCCGAAGAGGTTACACAACATTTTCATCCATCCACTTTGTATGCAGAAGAGCAATTGGCAACTAGTTCGGTGTGAATTTTCGCTGGAAATAAGACCGACTTGCTAATTAATGCAAAGCGTTAAAATTTGTATTCAAGGAACAGCTCATTCCTTGAGCAATCCCATATAAAGAAACAATTAATGTGTTGACAAAGTCTTCCCAAGAATACGTCATTCTATGTTACTTCCCCGCAATAATCAAAATCATATATATAAGACCACATATAAAAAAAGCTCTATTTCTCGCAAGTACGCAGATTTCTTTGTGTGAAGATGGGTTTCATCAATTTGTTGTGTATGTTTGTAATCGTTAACGTTGCATTTTGTGAAACATATAATACCAAGTACGATCAAATAGACGTCGACTCTATTTTAGCAAGTAAGAGGGTACTAACCAATTATATAAAATGTATCTTAGACGAAGGACCTTGCACTCCAGACGGCAGAGAATTCAGAAGTAAGTTTACTCATTTGTCTAAAAGAAATAATAATAATCATTCAATCGAAACGACCTAAAACAATGTTGAAGAGTCAAGGACCTTCCAGAAGTACAACAGCACCATTAGCTGAAATAAAAAGGTTTCAACTGAATTTATAGCATCAGCCAAGATGTATATCCTGGAAATATTTTTACAGAGGAGTGATAATAATTCCTGTTTTATTCGTAACTGAAGGAATCATTTGAAAACATGATATTGAATCTTTATAAATAAAAACAAGTTGAAATGGTTTCCAAATTGGTTGCAAGCGACATAATTGATCAACTGCATACGTACCACATAATCTTATGCAGGACTTTAGTGCTAGTATACTTATTTACGATTGGGCTCACCAAAAATTCAAGTAGAAAGAAACTCTTTGATTATGTATTATCTGCCGACGAGTCAACTTCTCACAAAAATGAAAATGTAAATTGTCACAATCCACATTTTATGAAAAATATTGACAATCTGTATATACAGTGTCACCATTAAAGTGCGCACCATATGGGAAACTTTTTTTTCGAAAAGTTTCAATGAAGTTTAACTTCGGCACTTGTTTGTGCTTTAAATTTAACTTAAAATGATACGGCCAACTGCGACCCACTGACGTTCAATGTTTGTCAAATTCAACTTTTTTTATTTTTTTCAATTGAAAAAGTGCATTTCTTGATCGAATTTAACAAAAAGTTACTTGAAAAAGTTGTGTCTACGGCAATTTTATATCCATATGCCAAATTTTATGCAACTAGGATAAAGTTAACGTTTTGCCTATTTTTGACAGATATCCCCTTTATTTTAAAAAACAAGTTCGGTTAATTGTCATCAATTCATGTATACATAACA